ATCATACTCTGAGATGGTCTGTTCGAGTTTCATGTTCTATCTTAAGACATTGCTTCCAATCCACATTTGTGGTCAAAATAGGAGAGTAAAAGTTGAAAAAGCTTTTCTGTCTCTATGATTGTCTGCGTACTTGAAAGTTTTTTAATTGTGGTTTCGTAATATCAAATGTTATCATAGTCTGAGACACTCTGTTCGACGCAGAATTTCATGTTCTATCGAATGACATTGTTTTCAATCCGCATTTTTACTCAAAAATAGGAGAGTAAAAGCTCAGGAACTTTTTTTATCTCGAGTATTGTGTAGGTATAGCAGTTGTTTACTTTTAAGATGCTGACGTATGATAAACGTATGATTGAAATCAATGATACCAAGTTTTGAGAAAGGAGGTGCTTTAATTTCTGAGGACTTTTGAATCGTTAGGCAAGTTTGGGAAGAAAGGCCTTCGAGAGACAACCGTTCAAGCTAGATTCCGTAGGAAACGAGAGAAAGTTAAAAAAATTGCCAAATCTTTTAGGTACAAATGTCCAGCCAAGTGGAAAAGGGATTATTTAGCTCTCGATTCAACCACACAGAGGCACGTTCTCTGGATGTACTTTTTTTATTGAAAAGCAGAAAAGAGACGAAAAATTAATTAATTACTCAGTACATACGAGCAGCAGAAGAAAGAAAAAAATAGCAAAAAATAGAAAAGACATGTCCTCTGCACACACACTGTCCCTCTTCCATGCTTCATCAAGCTTCGGTCACATAAATGATCTGATGAAGATTGTCTTTCTTCTCCACTTGTTCGACCTTGAAACGAGCACCAGGAAGGAACAGATGCTCTTTTTCTCCTGGTTCGGCCGAATAGATATCCACATCTCGAGCATTGATCGCCTCGATGATGAATTCGGTCTTTTTCACCTTGCCATCATTTTTTTTTATGAACTCATTGATTTTGTCCTTTGAGGTTGTCGCGCTCGTAAATGCAGCCCATTGAAACTTGTCACCTCTTGCATACTCATGCGGATCGTTCCATTATTCACCACGATAGACTGTTGTCTTGAGAAATTGGAGTTTCTTTAGAGCAAGATGAAGTAGATTAACGTAGCCAGCAAAGGGTGCGAGCTTTTCTGTGTCGCCGCTACGGAGTGCTTTGTTCACTGCTTCATGCAATAAACCGGCCTTTGTATAGCACATAATGATGGCAATTTCATCTACACTCAATGGTATCGTGCGAGTTTTCGCCTTTATTGTTTTCGCCTTCTCGCGACAGTCCCGAAGATCAGAATCATACGTTGCTGGCTCACCAGCCTTCACGAAGTTCTTCATGACCTCGTCGAGTGAGCGCACTTCTGACTTCTGGTAATCTTTGATGATCAATTGAATCTGGCAGGGCGTTGTTCCATGGCATGTCGAAGGCGATGCAGGCTCGTTCATGTATTCAATGAAGTGTGGTGAACGAGTAGAAGAACTACCACCCGTTGGACTAACAGGTTGAAGGCCACGCTTGTTTAGTGTAGTACTACCATTCACAGTCATAATAGCCATTAATAATAAACATAATCCAACTAAATAAAACTGAACTCGAGCCATTTTGTAGAAAGAAACCTAAGTAAAAACTAACAAGAATTTTAGAACACAAAAGTTTGCTTTAAAATATTTCAACCAACTTACCTGGTCTGTCCTTGCTTGCTTGTTAAAATCTATGTGTAATCTTGAAATGAAAAGTCACCACCTATTTATACCTGTTGAGAGAGAGAGAGATTTTCTACTTCTTTTCTTTCGTTGTAGAAACTGTACAGACTAGAGAAAATGAATTGTCGATATAGTAAGAAAGAGAACAAAGACAGTGAGGTTAGTCAAAGCTGAAATATAAAGAAAATGTTCGTTGTGTTACATCGAAGTTAAAAGCTAACAAAAGGAAAAGAATGTTAGACAATTGATTAGTGTATGTGTAGTATTGAACAGAAAAGACTTTAGAATACACGAATTTAATTTTTTTCTGGAAACACCTTTTAGTTTTCTTCGTTCAAATAATAAAATAATCTCTCTTACCTAAGCTACCTGAAAACTCAGCTTAATTGTTAAACACGTGCATATCACATGTTTAACACGACACAGTAACAGATGATAGAGAAAATTTCTCGATATTAGAAACAATACAACGATAACATTGAAATTCTCCAAATTTATGAACTCACTACCCTAGTGAAGCTTTTTTTCTCAAGCACATGAGCAAGCACATATCTCAAGATTTGTCTCCATGCACATGAATTTCTTGCTGATGGAAAACGCTTGAGGTATGTGCTTGACTTTCTTGTCTCATGCGCTTGAGTTACTTGAAGTATGCGCATGAGGGGAGAAATA